AGGCAGGCTATTGAGAAATATGGCAATAAATATTCAAAATAATAGCTAAAAAGAGTTGCAACCAGTCACCTCTTGGGTGTTACCACTGGGTGTGGGGGGTGGGGCAGGAAATTGCTGGGGTGTTTGGTTTTGCTTGTAGCCCTCTGGTATTTTAAAAACTGTCTGCATGTATTATTTTGATTCAAATACAAATCAAATCAAGAAAAGGAGCTTCAGGGCACAAAAGGGATCTGCAGTTTCCCGCCATCCCCGAGAGACAAGCCCAGATCGGCTGGCTTCCTGTGTGTCCTCCAGCCAGGCCCACGCTCACCTGGGGCCAGCACAGCACACCCGCCCGGGGCCCCTCCTGCATCTCTCCCCTTGTCTGTTTTGGAGATGGCTTCCATCTGGGCACAAGGGTCTCTCGAGTGTTCCACTGCATGGCTGTGGCGGCACACCTAGCCAGATCTGCCAGCCGCAGGGGCCTTGGGGGAGCTCTTCCCCAGGTGCCTAAGGACCTGTGTGGAGTCAGTCACCAAGTCGGGAGCAGAGCCATCAAGCCCAGTGGACTTTCGTCCCAGGCAGAGTTCAGAGACCCCAAGGGAGAGCTGCTCCCCTGGCCACTGTTGACACAAGCTCACGGAGGGATCTAAGTCAGTAAGCCGGGTGGCCCTGAGCATCAGAGCCTCCCTGCCCCCTTCTTGTTTTATGGGTCATCTGGTTACCCTTGTCCTGGGATGTCTATGTGCCACGGATGCCCAGGGCCTCTCTGGAGGAGTGGTGCCCTGGGATATTGGATCAGCCAAATGCCAGTCTGGTGCTCCCAGCTGCCCCCAGGAATCCCCTCAGGAGCAAGGGAATCCCCTCCCTGTCCTCCACCCTGTCATCGCTCCATCCCCCCAAAGAGAGAGAAGGTGCCACATCTGCTCAGTATCCAGGAAGCTGAGTCTGGGTGAGGTCCCCAGGGTGCCCACTCAGAACCCAGAAGGAGGAGGACTGGGGTGGAGTGAGCTGAATTTCCTTTCTATTTAAAGAAAAAACCCAAGTCAATATTTTTAGGTGCCAGCTAAGAAGTAGCTTCCTCTGCACAGGGTCTTCCTCTGTGGTGTGGCGGAGTGGTAGCTGACCCAGCCTGCAGAGCTGGGGGCGTGGGGGGAGAGGAGGAAGAGGAGGGGGAGGGAGCAGGCGGGGGTGGGGGTTTCCGTCTCCCTGAGCTGGTTCAGGATAGACGCTGACATCTGGTTTTAAGTGAGGGGCCTGTTTTTTCCTCAACCAGTGGGTTTGGGTTTGCCTGGAGCTCCAGAAGAAACCTTCAGGAAATTGGTGGCAATTTCGAACCCAGGCTCCTTCTAGCCTCTGGATTTGGTTCAGATACCAGACCACCCAGGTGGCTGGTACTTAGCAAGAGTGGGCTGAGCCCTGTCTGGAAGCCACATCTGGGAGACACTCCACAGCGGATGCTAAATCCAGGGCCATCTGTAGGATTGTCAACCTGTGTTTTTCTGTGCCCAGCAGGGCCAGCTGCAAGAAGGTGCTCGTGTGTGTGTTTGTGGGGGTGGGGGGTCAGCGCTGTCTCCCAGGGCAGCTGGGAAGGACACAGGGACTAGCAAAGACCCAGAGAGAAGCTCTGCGCACCCCCCCATCCTCCCACCAGAGGGTTCTGAGCTTTGGGGCAACGGAGAGGGAGGTGGGACCTCAGTTGTACTGAGCAAGGCACACGGGCCGAGCGAGGGCGGGGGAGAGGCTGAGCGGCCCACCTGGGCTGGGCTACCAGATGGACAACTTTGCTGGTGACCCAGGTCCACGGCTACCGTTGTGGCCTCCGTTCCAAGGACACCGAGAAGACTCTGTGTCCTCCAAGGGCCCAACACATATTTGTGGGGAATGTGAAATCCGAACAGCTGATTGGTGGCCCTGCAGCCGCCTTCCCCACGTGCAGCACCTAAGAACAGGGGGTTCAGGGGGTTCCAGTCTCCTGAGTGAGGGCCACGTCTCAGGCATGCCCCTGGGAGACGAATCCCAGCACACAGGAGATCTGTAAGTGTTAGAGGAACAGGCTTGGCGGGTGGGCCCGTGGCCCCAGCTTTCACGGCGGCCAAGCCTCCGGCCCCCCTGATGTACTGTGGGTCTCTCGTGCGAGGGCCATGCTGAACCCCGGCTCTGCGCCTCCTTCCCAGAAAGCAGGGTCTGTCATACTGGTTAATAGAGGAGGAAACGGGGCTCACGGGGGTCAAATCAGCCCCATTGCTTGGCAGCCGAACAGCAGGGCCCGGATTTGAACCCATATCTTTCTGACTCCAGGGGCCAACTCTTCACCTCCCAACGTGCTGTCTCCTCCCAGGCATCTTGCAAAGGCCAAGGACAGTGGGGATCCCGTGTCCTCGCTTCCAACACCCTGCTGAGGGGGCAGAAATGTGCCCCAGGCGGCGGGGAGCATCACCCGCTGCTGGGCCCGGCCTCGGCCTGAAAGATCGGTGTTGGCAGCTTGGCCTCTGAGAGCAGGAGCGGGCAGTGTGGGCAGAGCCGGCAGACGCTGGCCTCTGGCTGACGCAAAACCCGTGGCCACACGGCCTGGGGACCTGCTACCGATCCGGTCACTGACAGAGTCGACAAGCACCTACTGGGCGCCAACTGTGTACCAGGCAGCGGGGGCCATAGCAAGAAGGAGTCGGCCCTTGTGGGGCTGATGGGGAAGGTGCCAGGTGACAGGTCACAGCTTGGTGTGGAAAGGGAGGCCCCGGCCGCCCCCTTCCCGGCCGGGCCCCCGACATGCATTGCTGTTTGTGGAATGAATGATTTTGGGGGTGAGCTAGTTTGGCAGCGGGGCTGACCCCCTTCCTGGGGAGCCCACACACCACAGCCAGACCTGGCATGAGAAACTCCTTGATGAGCCCCTCCGCCCGGGACATGTCCGGTTGCCTGGTGGGAGCTCAAACGGGCTCAAACTGGCCCCCCAAAGCACCCTCAGCCACCTCCAGTGGGAATATTTTTGAAGTCGTGTGTTTTATATTGAAAAGGGATGGAATTTTGCTTTTTGCCCAGAGTGGGTTGTTTTAGCGTAAAAATATTATTTTCGTTCAATTCTTGCAGCAGGTTTTTTTTTTTTTTTCCCCTAGGATTTGGTGTTTCATTGGTCCCGTGTCTTCAGGTCTTCCCAACTCTGGAGGTGACCCAGTCTGAGAAGCTGGGACCGATCTGGGAAAATGTCCGTGCTCCTTGGCTGTTTTCAAGGCCTGAGGGCCTGGCCTGTCACCTCTGCTGTCCGCAGGGACCGCCGGGATGATCTTCCCCAGGAGCACAGGACTGCATGCGCCCCCCGCCCCCAATTCAGGCTGCTCGAGGCCCCCTGCCTAGGGTTCCCTGGGTGGCCCCCCACCTCCTCCCCAGGCCTATGTCTACTCATCCTTCAAGACTCAGCTCAGCACCCCCTCCTCCAGGAAGCCCTCCTAACGCCCAGGTAGGGCTCAGGGTACTGCCTGTGTCCCCCAGGATGCCCTCTAGTATCGGGCTTCTAATTTCGTTTTAGAATGATGTTTCCAATCTGTCCACACTGCATTATGCAGGACTCTTTGATTGCAAATGACAAAAGTCCAATCCGATTAGTTTAAGCCGGAAAAAAGGTCAGATCGGGAGGCTCACAAAACCGGCAAAGGCATTGGAGGAACAAGCCTCCGGGCGACAGGGATGTTAGGACCCCTCTGTGCCTCTTGTCTAACTGGCTTCTCTCTCTGGGCCACGGGCCCTGACTGCCTGCTCCCCAGGCAAACACACAAACAGCTCCTAGTCACAGGAGAAAACACTCCGTTTCCAACCAGCTCCAGGTAGAAAAATTCCAGGGACGGTCTATCAGCCCAGGGCCCAGGCTTTGGGTGTACACGCCTTCGGGTAATTTGAGCAGAGCCGTGAAAGCGGCTCTGTAGGAAGGTCTGGGCCCGTCGTGGAAACCTCGGGGGGCTGGGGCAGGCCTGGGCTGTGGGTCGGGGAGGAGGGCTGTTTACACCCCCCGGGCCTGAAGGGGAGAGACACACGGGGAGACGATGTTGCACCAGCCCGGGGACCTTCCTTCAAGGACGTGGCCGTCCTTCGCAGCTGGGGTGATGAATGAATGACCCACCCCACTCTTGTCCTGTGAATGGACCCGGCTGGAGCCAGAGATGCAGCCTGTGCAGACCAACCTCTCAGGGCCTAGGCTGGGTCGGGGGAGGCCGGGAGGCCACTGGAAGCGGGAGCAAACAGATGGAGGGTGGGCGAGCAGAAGACACCTTGCTGCATCAGCCTCCCCCCTGGTGGGCCCAGCCTCCGGCGCCTGCCCTCCTTCTGGAACGGGTGTGAAGGGGTGCTGGGAAGGTCGACGCCACAGTCCTGCAGCCCCTCAGCGCACACTGGGCCGCTGGGGTCAGGGCCTACAGGGGGGGTCTCCTTTCTTCAGGGTTTGGCACAGATAAATACACAGTGGGTGAGGCTACAGCAAAGCCGGGCAGAGCTGAGCGCCGACGTGTCCGGTTGCCTGGTGGGAGGCCTTTCTGCAGGGTGTGGGGGCGGGCTGAGGTATCCTGAAGTCAGGCCCTGGGAAGGGGCCCCGGGGGTCGCTCTGCTGGGCTGGGCTGGGCCGAGCCATCTGGGGGACCTGCCTGCTGGAGGGGAGCTGCTGAGTGAACCCCAGCATGGGCGCGGGAGGATAGTGCGGCCTGCAGCCTGCTGAGGGAGAAGGGAGGGCAACACAGGAGTCCCTTGTCGGGACGAAGGAAGCCTGTTTCTGGAAGAGTCACCTGAGCGCTGGTTCTCGGGAAGCTCTCCAGCAAGGGGCCCTCGGTCGTGGCCCTCAGAGGGGAGGCCGCAGCCCAGCCCACAGCTGCCTCCGTGTTCCCTGAGGTCCCGCCCAGGGGGCTTCCCGCCTCAGGGGACCGGCCGTCCCAGCCGGGAATGTCGCCCCCTTCAAGAGACAGCAGCTACACCTCCTCGGTCCTGGCCCCCTCTGCTGCGTCTTGGGGTTTGTGAGAATCCTCCCTGGCAACGCACGGGGTCCCAAACCCCCACGTCTGCAAGGATCAAACCCTGGCCAAGAAGGGGGAAGGTGCGGAGGCCTTGTGTTGGAGGCACCGAGGGTAATTTTAGCAGTTTGCTGCGGGGGAGCCGTGTCTGTGTTGGAGACCGGAGGCCACTCCCGGGTGTCTCCCCGGTAACTCTGCTCTCGGCACTGGTGGGCGTCAGGGCAGGCCGCCCGCGGCACTGGGCCTGTAAACACGGCCCTTGGTCTGGCTGTCTCGGGGGATGACGGCTTCTGAAATAACTTTATAATTAGCAAACCTTTCGGGTGGCTGTTTCCTTCTCTGGCACACGGAATAACTGCTGAAATTATTATTTCTATTAACCAGACTGCCCCGATTTCTAAGGACCGACAGGCACCGAGTGAGACGTGTAAAGCTTTCCACAGGTGATGGATCCACGTGGGTCTGGGGCCATCGTGTTCTTGGGGAGTGACCCACCGGGCTGGCGCAACACCCCAGGGGTGAGCCACACCCCCCAGCCCCATCCAGCCATCTGTTCAGAGACGGGCCCTACCCAAGGCCCCATAAGGAGGGAAGGGGCAGAAATCTGGCGAGGAGGGGGAGTGTGGGGCTCACCTTGAAGCTACTTCCACGCACGACTTGACAAAGTCTGAGAACATCTCAACTCACCACATCCAAGAGAGGGTGCAGGGGGGGAGGCTGACGATGGGGTCGGGGGAGTGAGAGGATTCTCCAGGCACCTCCCGGTGGAGCCACCGCGATGACCCACGCTGGACACACCAAAGCTGTCCCCGGGCTCCTGGGCAGAGCCAGGAGCCCCACACCCTCTCTTCCTCTGGAGTCTCAGGCCGTCCAGACACTGTGAGCTGCAGGGGGGGCCACCTTCCTTCGCAGGAAACCTGTCTGTCCACACAGTACAGGTTAGACCCAAGACACCCAGGTAAATTAGAATTTCAAATAAACAACAAATAGTGCTTTAGTATTCTCTGTCCCCAATGCTGCATGGGCCATATGTCTACTAAAATTGTATTTTCGTTATCTGAAATTCCAATTTGCCTGCATGTCCTGTAGATGTCCCTGCTGACTCTGACGACCCTAATGAAAGCCAGCTGAACTCGGTCGGCTTCTTGGCGACACGGCCTGACTTCCCTGAATCTGGGGCCTTCCACGGACAGGAGCCGGGCACTTCCTTGTTCTTTTGGATCGAGTCTGAGTTGGGTGTCTGTCACTTGCAACCAAAGGAGTCCGGGTCGAAGTAGCCAGTGATGGCCACAATTCGGGGGAAAAAAGTAACCTGGCAGTCCAAGGGCTTGAAAACCCACAGAGTAGCACCAGGGGCTCAAGAACACTTGAAGGAGGATTTCTGAGGCTGGTTCCCTGGCCTGCATCCCGGCAGGTGACCCCAGCTGACCTGCAGCTTTCCCTCCTCCTCCTGCCTTCAAAATCTCCCCTCCTTTTCTTCCTGGGCCGTTGATGATTGCTGTGGTTATCACTGCTGTCCTATCGGAGTCTGTTGTCCGATTACAAAATAATTCATGTTTACTGGGTCATTTTAAACCCCACATTTCCATACATTTAAAAGAATTTTGCTGTATAAAAACCTCTCATTACAGCATTATCTCCGGAGGGCAAATGCTAGAAATAACACCCATATTCAGTGACAGGGATAGGAACGTTCATTAGGACGCTTCCGTCCCATGGGCTGTAACGCACGTGTGGAAACCAACTATGGAGACATGAGGAAACACGGAGAATGTTCGTGAAAACATGTGCATACCATAAAGCAGCATAAAGAAGCCTGGGATGGCAAAGATAAAGTGTCCTGGGGGGGAATCCTTGAACCCGAGAACAACAGGTAGAGTGGCGGGCAGGCATTGTGGATAATTTTTCCCATTTCACGGTTTTTATGGTATTTTTGATACATAATGAGAAATCCAAAGGGTAGAAAATTCACCTTTATGAATTGCTTTCCCTCTTGGTTCGAAGTGGGAAGGGAAGAGCCCTCAGCTTTGCAGCCCTCGTAGTTGAATTAACGGAGGGGCTAAATGAGGAGGAAGTGACAGCGGTGAAAACAGGAGTCACCCTCCTGCCCGGCCCCTGCTTTGCTCTCAAGGTCAGTGGCCAAGTCCCCCCGAGTTTGGTGCAACCAGCAGGTCTTGGTGACAAGGGTCCCCACCTGCTACCTCCCTGGCTTAATGACATTCTCTGCTGTGATCAGCGGGAACAAGCTCTTGGGAAGAGTAAGTGAGAGCCGGCCAGAGTGGAGCCCCTCTCTCAGCTGGAGCCCGGGGCCGGGGGTCTGAGGGAGGCTGGGCAAGTGCAGATGGCCCGGCCGCGGGTTGGCCACTGGCTGAGAGCTGCTGGTTTACCCAATGACAGCGTCTTCCTTCCCCAGAGCACCTGCTCCTGAGATGACCCCCTAGTTAAGGGGGTTGACTCAGGTCGGACAGACCTTAGGGGCTTTGCCACTTGTTAGCTGTGACCTTGGGCAAGTTAGGGAACCCCTTGTTGCCTTGGTTACTCATCAGCAAAACGAGGTATTTTACCCGAGCTTCATTAGCTGCTGCTGTGGTGGCAGTGGCCTCTTACTGTGGCCACGAGCTCCGAGCCGTGGCCGTGTCCAGTAGGAGGTCACTAGTGACCTTCAAGGGCACGTCTAATGGAGCAGCGCAGGTGCACGTAGCTAGGAGGCCACTAAGAAATCTGCTAGTGCGGAGGGCATTCCTGCAAAACAGTCTTGGCATTGGAACGGTGAGAACTGGCAGAAGGAGGGGGACGTGCTTCCTGAAGACGGGGTGTGAACCCCAAATAAAGGAGAGAGGGAGGACTCGAGAGAACGAGAAGCACAGGCTCCGTGATGGCAGGGTCTCTGGTCCCTGCGGGGTGCCCCGGGCTGGAACAGAGCCTGGCCTTGGGCCAGCAGCTGCTCAATATCTAAACCGAGCACCCCTTCTCTGGGGCCTGCCCCCTAAGGCTGGGCGGTGCAGGGCTGTGGGGGCAGCCTGCGCCCCCCGAAAGTGCAGGTGGAGGGATGCATGCAGCCAGCACACGGTGGAGCCCCGGCCTCGGTGAGAGCGGGCACAGAGAGGGAGGGTGCACATTCAGGAGACAAAGGAGGTGCAGTTAAGCCTCCGTGTTCCCGGACGGGAGAAGGGGAGTTTGGGTGTCCGAAGTGTGACGTGGTTTGGCAAGGAGCCCACAGGAGGCAACATCAGACAGAGAGTCAACTGGGAGAAACAATTAGGGACCCTGGACAACAGCAGGATAAAAATCATAGAGCTACCAAAATCCAGAGCCCGGGGAGGGGGGGGGGTGGCAGGTGACGGGAAGCTGTGTGAGAGCCGATGTCTCCACCTTTCGAAGTCAGCAGATCCCCAAATTGAAATTGGGGCGTGGAGTTAAAAAGCCACGTTAAAAACCAGTGAGGACTCCAGCCTCTTAATGTTTTCAGACACTTCTCATGTTCAAGAGACCTTTTGGGATACAGTACGTCTTGTGTGACCAAGTATTTATGTGGAGTTCAGCAGCGTCTTCAATTTCAAGTAAAATTATTAATGCACTAATGAAATTGAAATTACCTTCAAGAGAAGGATCCTATCTTTACAAAATATTTTTATTCTCTTCTATCTGTATCCATGTCTTGCAAGAAATTCACCTAATGCCACTGTTGCTCATTTCCAGGGGATTGAACCGCAGGGAATTTTATTATTATTATTATTATTATTATTATTATTATTATTATTATTATTTTACATTTTGTTTGTGTACTTTTGGGCGCTGTTAGAATTCAGTTGTAGCAAGAATGTGTTATTTTTATAAAAACATGTGTGATTTTGTTTTTCTCCCAAAAAAAGCCAATATGCAAAAATCTTACAGTGGTTAATGCTGAGTGGAGGTGATCTGTGTGGACGAGTGTTCTTACCTTTGCTTTTCTGTATCATTTTTTCTTTCAGTTAAAAATAAATGCATACAGAGAGGCAGGGAGGGCGTGACCGGTAGCATGAGCCTAGTTCTGTGGTTTGACCTCTTCAAACAAAAAATATGATGACAGTGTCCACGAGGCCCAGTGGGGGTGTCACGCCTGCCAATGTCCACAGCCGCACTGTCCCCCTGGCCTTGCTCTCCACCTGCAGCGAGCAGCAAAGTCCCAAGCATGGGGGGCAGACCTTGACCCCACTGTCATGCCCCCCGTCACCCCAATATAAGTGCTGGCCCCCGTTGCAGCTACTCCAGCCCACTGTCAACGTGGGAGACGCAGTGTCCCCTGGAGGTGATGACACGTGCCACTCCCCCCTCGGCTATGCCCGCCTTGTCCCCTACCCATCGGCCTCTCGCATCGGCTGCCCTGGCTTCGAGAAGCTCTGCCGACCGCGCCCTGTGGAAGCCTCGCGGTCCCAGGCGCCAGCCCTGTTCTCGCCTCACCCACAGACACCTGCCTCGGGGCCCACAGCAGACCTTCCTGAACCTCTCTTGGCGACTCACCCCCAGGCCCCTGCTGGGGTGGCCCGGCTCAGTAGCTGCCGATTCTTGCCCTGCTTTCATGATCGCCCCATTCATGTAGACATTTACTGCCCCGCAGACGCCCGGAGCCTCTGCGGTCTTGGTCCTCGGCGGACAGCGGGGCAGATGGGGGAGAGAACAGAGGGCAGCCAGGGGCACCCAGCCACGCCGACCCCTTCTGCTGGGGGCCCGGCAGGCAAGCAGACGCCCTCCAGGGCTCTGGCTGTGGTTCCGCAGAGCTGGGAGGAGACTCAGGAAAGGACATTTAGGCCAGCGCTTCCTGAGCTTGTCCACCAAGAGCTCCTGCAACTATCTGCCCATCCCTGCCTTCTGCCCTTCTGACTCGCTTTGCCAAAACTTCGGTCGATCGGAAAAATGGCCCAGATGAAGCAATAACCAACAGCCAACGCGGTATAGCACTGGGCTAGCTGGCACTGTGATGCCTGCCCGAGCTGATGAAAGCCTGGCCCAGCCAGAGAGATCTGGCCCCCTGATTGGCCCCAGCCACCTCCCGGGTCAGCATTGGGTTTCCACTGGGCTTCCTGAAACACCCAACGACCCCCCAGCTGCGAGGCCTCTGTGCACTCCCCGCCATGCGTGACAGCCCTATTTTCACGAACTGAAGCACCCGCAAATGAACGGTCAGCAGGCAGAATCCCAGCATGACTGGAATCTGTGGAGGGCTGCTTGGCTCTGCTCCCTGCTGGGTCCCTCACTCTCAGGCCCCCCGTGGTGGGCAGAGGGCCGCTGCCAGCTCCAGGGCAACCCGCCCTCAGGTTGGGGGCCAGAGACATGGGGGAGCTTCGGCCCGCATCCTTGAGTTCACTCTGATTTCACCAACTTGGGCCACAGGTCCCCCTGAACCAGTCGCTGCAGCTGCGGGCATTGGGTGTCTTGACCCACCAGGACCCCCGAACACAAGTAGATGGAGGCTCCCCAAGGCAGGGGCGGGGGCAGGGACCCGTGACTCTCCAGTGCTGCCGTCAGACGTTCGTGGGGCCCCGACGTCACGAGTGTTGGTAGGCGGGGAGCCTGCCTCCCCAGGTTTCTGTAAGGACACCACCGCCGTCCCGGCAGAGAGTGAGAAACCCACACTGGTTTCTCCCTCAGCCCTGGGCCGCCTCCTCCAGGAAGCCTGTTCTCCGTGTGCTTCCCAGGCAGAGACAGCCAAGGGCTGACTGCAGCCTCTGGTTTCCAGCCTTCTTTACTGCCCCCGGGCCTTCCCTTCTTCCCCTGGGGACTCTGGGTGTGTGTCTGCCCCCCGTCCCTCTTGGTCCCTGGGGACATCGCCCCTTCTGGATGAGCCTGTGGTTGCTGTCGCTGCCTTGTGAGGTCACCACTCTGCTTGGGTCCCACAACCAGCAAATCTCTGGCTCCTCTACCCCCTGTGGTTCTGCAGTTTTATTTGACTGCCCCCAAAATCTTCATGTTCCTGGGAACACGACCCAGGTGGGAGGCGAGAATCGGGCAGAGGGCACAAGGCCAACTATGGCATCAGGCCCTGTGGCTTTCAGAGATGCTCCCTCCTGGTGTCTCCCTCTGGCCAAGGGCTTCCCCAGCTGGTGGGCTGCCAGCAATGCTGGGGGGACGGCTGAGGGACATGAAGTCTGGTCGCCTGGCCCACTGCGGTCTCTCCCGGGAGGCCTGTGGGCCTCACGCAAATGGCATGTGGCTGGTTTGCCCAGACACCCATGTGTGTGCAGTGGGACGTTCGCGGGTCCTCCCTTCGGGACCTCACTGTCCCTTCCGCTCCGCCAAGCTCCACACACAGCACAACGACCAGATCCGTAATCCACGCACCCCGTCTCCCAGAAGAAAAAGGAGAACACGGACTTTGGCAAAACAATTTTATTGTTTAAAAAATAAATGTTACATATGACATACAAAAAGTCATTTTAAAAACTCTGTTCTGAATGTGTCTCGCTGTCTGAGACATCGTTAAGTGTCCGCCGCTTCCATAAAAACCAGGGGCAGTTTCTCTTTGTGCAAGAAGACAAGGCACATCACTGGCACTTGGCAGAGAAGGGGTTCACGCCTACGGTCTCCCCACCGCACCACACAAAGGACACAGGCCTTCTGAGAAAGGAGCTTGCCCGCCACTCTGCTCGCCGGGCAGAAGCCCAGTATGGAGTGTCCCAGCACGGGACGGAGACCGCCCGGACACGGTCCCGACTGCCACACACCCTGGCTTCCACGCTGGCCCCACGTCCCATCTAGATCTC